GGGGTGGCAGGCTGTGAGCAGGTGCTTGAAAGTCTGTAGCGGTTGCTCTTTCATTTTGCCAAAATCGGAGCTGGAGTGCAGTCTGGAGTCGATCTCCAGGACTATTTCCGCCACTGCGGCTGTGTGGAGCTTCAGTTTTGGCTCCGGCAGCTTGTAGGAGATCTTGCCAGTAATCACGGCCATCAGCACCAGTCTCTTATAGGCTGTCTTGTTGTGACTGTCTTCAACGGTGATCTCATATGGGCCCTCCAGTGCATGGTAGAGGTTTGATGGCTTGACACCATCAACCGTAGGCACCAGCAGCGCGAAGTCAAGGGTACCAGCCAATTTGACTAGCTCGGAGACATGCTGCTTGGTTGTGAGGATAATGCGCGCCCGTGCTTGCGAGACCTGCAGTCTGTGGGTTTGGACCATGGGTCGCCCATCTGTTCCGTGGAATGGGATTGGACTTTGTAGGGACAAATCTTCCCACCTTGCCTGCGTTTGCTTCGGTGTCTTCTTCAACCAGGGGTCGTTGTGCCAGAGGAGGTCAGGCTTGTCTTTGGAGGCAGCCGCAACGGGCTGGCTGCCCGTGCTGGTGGTCTGCTTGGGGCTGGAGGTGTCCATAGCCGCTGAGCCAGCGCCTGCGGCAAACGCCAGGACTGGAAATTGGTTTCTGCTAACTGCGAGCAAGAAACGGTGCCTCATTGCATTGGCAAAGCGTATGAGGTCTGGCGTGGCAAGTGCATCTGCCCATGCGGTGTGCGCCAAGTGCAAAGAGTTGGCAATCTGATGTGCATGGGAGCTGGCCTGAATTTCAGCCAATTGGCACTGGGAAAGGAACGGGAGTGTGATGCCTAGCCGGTGATGAATTTCAGCCACAATGGCCTGGCCGCACATGCCATCGGGGTTGACCTGGTCCAGACAATGGAGGGTAATCTCTGACCCGTTGTAGTCCAGGTCGGTGCGAATGCGCTGGATCAGTGGCAGCAATCTTCCCATGGTGTTTGGCGGTGTCTTGATGTAAAAGTGCGCATGGTGAGGGCACTTGTAGCACTCAATCAAGAGCCAGTGATTGCCATCCATGATAATCCAGAGGATGTGCTGGTAGACCCTGAACGGTGGTTCCGGTGCGTGTGGGAAATGCAGCAGGTCTGCGGCTTCATTCCACACTGCTGGTGGACAGATGAGGGTGTCGGGAAGGAGGGTCCTGGGGCCCTCAAGTGCCAGGTTGATCTCATCTGAGGATGCCCACCCCGGGTGGACATTGAGCCGCTCCAACTTGTCTGAGATTCGCTGATGCACACTCTGCTGGTGGCGGAGGTGTTCATGGTGTGCTGGTGTGTTCTGGATTGGCTGCTGCACTGGTGGGAAGGCAGTGGCGATGGGCCGCTGGTTGATGTGGCCATCCCGAATGTCTTTCCTGGCCAAGGTGACAAAGAAGTGCCGGCGAAGCCTGGCTGCCATTGCCCACATGGCTGGGGATGCATCTGCCTTGTGCCAGTCCTCGATGGATGCCTGCAAGAGGAGGGCAATCTGGTCGTTATGCTCAGGTGAAGTGGCAGCTTGACTGTCAACCCTGGCAAGCGTGTCATGGATGCCAAGCTCAGTCGCCCATCGAAGCAGCAACTGCCAGCCACATAAGTGTGGTGTGTGCTCATTTGCATCGTGATGGATGCGCATACGGTGTGGTGCAATGTCAAGTATCCTGGCAATGATCAGGATAATCCTTGTGTGCCACTGAGGAGTGACTTGTACGGTTGTAACAGCAACACCTGTGTTGTCGCGCTGGATCTCGAGTGCGCACCAATGATTGCCGGCTAGGATGGGAATGTTGGTGTGCCCATCATCAGAGATGGCTAAGGGACCGAAGGGCCCTTCATCAAAGTCTGATTGCGCGCAATCCCAGTACACTGGTGGGGAGAAACGCGGTGCATCAGCAGACGACCACTGGAGCATTTGGCAGACGTGTGCCATTTCATCGGCAGCAAGCCACCCGTGAGTGTTGGCAGCAAACTCTGCTCTGGTGGTGAAATTGGCATTGGGAGCCAACACCAGTGGCTGCTGTTGGTTATGATGTCCGCCTGCTCGGATGGGAACCGGGTGCAAGCTGAGCAAATCGCCTGGTGTGGTGGCGATAGCCTGGTTGCCTGCTGGCTGGTGGTTGACGGTGTGCACCAAATATAGAGCCTCTTGAAATCTGAAAGTCTGCTTTGGGAGAAGCAGCCTTGGTACCGTGCTGGCCCAAAAGGGGGGACTGCCCTCCACGATGAGAATGACGCAGTGTGGTTGGCACGGATCCTCCTGAGTGCTGAGGACGATCACGGAGTGCAGGCACGGCATGGTAAACTGTTTGTACAGTGTGACTGGCGTCTTTGTGGCGCTGTGGACTTGCTGAACAGTCTGGTCGTGTTCAGGAGTGGGGATCCAACACGCAAAGGATATGCCGTGCTCTGGCACCAGGATTGTGAAGTTGCTGTGTTGCGTGACTGGAGCGCGTGTGAGTTGCTCCAACAGCGGGAAAAGCCCAAGGTGCAGCAGGTGATGAACTGTCTGCTCAAAATCTGCCTGTCTGATGAGGAGAGGCTGGTGCTGCCCAGGATTGTGGCGAATGCTAAATGGAATTGTGGGGGAGATGTCGACCACAATAGACTCATGCTTGCGCTTGCTGTGTGGGTGCTGCTCCTGCTGTGATGTGGGGCTGAGGGAAAGTGTCCCTAGCGTGTGAGCTCCAATGAGGAGGTGCCATGTGAGGCTGATGTTGGCCAAGTCTTGCAGAGTGACGGCTTGTTCAAAGCGGTGCTCATTGTGCTCGAGATGAAGAGAAAGTCTCACATGGGATGGGCTGACAAGCAGAGCCCGGAGGCAGCTTCCGAAAGTGGAAGTCTTCTGAAAATTTCCGTGGCAAGCTGCTCCATCGGTGCGAAGCTCAAGCTGAAGCCGGAAATGACCCTCGCTGCCAAACACCGTTTGCACCTGAAGGAAGGGAGCGCAGTTGATGTGCCTAACAATGCGCACCAAGTCACCGACTTGAAAGACAATGGAGTTGGCAGAAGTCAACTTGGCGCCCCAGCAGGCCCTGATCTCGCCTTGGATGTCAATTCGAACAGACAACATGGATTGCAGGCTAATCAGCATGGCCAATAAGGCATGCGGGGTGGCGATGGCGTTGCCAACGATTCGAAAAGCCTCTGGCAATTTGGTTGGAAGGATCTGATCACAGGTGGCACCCAACAAGACCACGAAGCGAGCCGGGTCGAAAAAAGCGAACCCCTCAGGCATGAATTGCAACATGGTGAACAAGCCTCTGGACGTGACATGGCGAAAGTCCAAATTGTGTTGATCCGAATAACTGGCACACAAGGTGGGCATGATGTCAGAAGACTGAAGTACCCGGCTTTGCAAGACCTGGGTTTGCGAAGGCTCAGCTAGCCTGCCTGATGGCTTGCGACTTGCAGGAAGCAGTGCAGGGTCACCATAAATGGCCTTCTCGGAGTCGCTCAAGAGCATCTGGCTAATCCATGACCTGGGCAGGACAAAGCTGAAGTCATCATGGGTCCAGGTCAGCCGTGAGGGAACAGATGGATGCACGGTGGTGTCAAAAGGAATGGCCGGAAGATCAGCCCGTGTCCATACTCCAAGCCACCTAGTACGATAGTGGGGAGAGATCCTGTGCAAAAACACGGTTTGCGACCAAATCAGCCTGTAGCCGAATTGGGCTGCCAAGTGCTTGAGCGTTTGAAAATGCACATGGGTGGTGATCTCATCGGAGCATTCTGCAACGATGGTCACTGCTTGCATACAAAAGCTCAAAAATAGACCGTCTGCGAAGGCGATCCCGTTGTCAGAGGACAATCCCTTCTGTTTCCCAGCACGTGACCAACTCTGGCACGGGGGGCTCATAGATACCATCACATTGACTTGGCTTTGGAGCAAGTTCAAAATGGACTTGTCGTGAACAGCGCCCCACACTCCCACATGCTCATGATGGTCCCACTGGCCGATGGCGTCAATAGGGCACTTCCGTACCTTCTGCTGATACTTGGCTTCCCAAAGGTGCATCACCCTTTCGTCAGCGTCGATTTCAATCCTCTGGCTGAAGAGGGCGGGGATGTCAGACCTATGGACCCATTGTGCCGCTTGCTCCCATCCGTTGAAGCCTCCCGCAAACATGTGTACTGCAGTCCATGCATGTTCAGGAGAAAAATCCGGTCTTGTGTAGACAGCTGTATGAAGGGAGAATTCGATGGATGAATCCAGGTCGCCCCCCCCGTCACCGCACCATAGCACATGAAATGCGCTCCCTTGAACATGTTGATAGGGCGGTCGGCCAGCTTGGGGATACAGATTGCACATGCCTTGCAATGCTCCCCATCGCCTTTGAATCCAGAACCCGGGTGGAACTGAAAAAGGCTAGCTGTCACATTGTCGCCAGCAACATCAACAGCTTCCCCAAAAATCAGGCCCATGTCATCGAATCTGAGGATGTGCGAGTGGCAACCAGTCCCAGAAAACATGACCTGAAGCTTGGATCGAAAAGGAACTTCAATGGCTTCACACGAAGAACCAACCATGGCGAAAGGCCTCAAGAGATCTCCTCTACCAAGGTCCAAAGTATGGCAGGATCCTTGGGAGGGATCCCTTGTAGACACCCAGTCCACCGCTTGGGGCGGAAGCCCTGGGCCGCGGGAGGCCTGTCCTCCACAAAGTCCGAGGCTTTTGAGCCAGAGGACTTGTGTATACTGTATATAAATAGATAGAAATGCCGAGTATTGCTCAACAGTTTTTGGGTGAAGCTTTGTTCAGAAGCGTTGGCAGGGAACTTGGCATTTTGCAAAACTGGTCGGGTTTTGGACAGGGTCCCCAGGAAAACCATGTTACCTTCTTGATCCCTGGACAATTCGAATACTTCCCCCGGACTTCCCCCCCTCTTCCAAGGCACATCCCAGCACTCTGCATGGATTCCACCAAGAAGTTAAGAGCCTTGCGCCTCGTTCCAGTCGAGCCTGGCGGCGCTTCAGGCCTTGCGGCAGGCCTTCATGGTTGCCCAGACGGACCTGGAGCGCAGCTTCGGGCCCATGCAGGCACGCCGCTGTGTGCTGTGTGGCAACGGTGGCGGTGGCGGTTTTTGTTTGGTAATTTGGTATTGAACGTCGAGTCTTGGCTAGTCTTAGTACATCTCTAGGGGCTCGTATGGACTTCTAGAGTTTCTAATAGGGCTTTTCCACACTTTTAGTTCTGGGATGGTTTAATCATGCATAGACACTTTTCAACGGCAATCCATTTTTCAGCACATATTATGTACTGTATGTGAAGTAAATGTTTGGGGCCTAAGATGGCTGTTTGCGATGTCGCTATGTCACTATGTCCCTGTTCCTTTTGGGTCACTGCTCCCGAAGATGAATCACCCGTTCCGAAGCTGGCAATACATTGCTTTGTTTGGCCCGGTATTGCATTGGTTTTTGCATGTTTTTGCACTTGGAAGGGTTCAAGGTTCATCCGCATGAATCGCAGTTGCATGGTCTTCTTATTGCAATGTGGGGCACTCCTTCGGCCACAGGTCTATAGCGGTGCCACCGTGATCATGCCCTGGCCTTAACTCGCTCACCGGTGGCCTCACCGGTGGGTCCGGGCATGGCAAGGCTCCGGTTCAACCTTTGGGGGGTCCGGGCCCACCCAGCACAGCCCACCCTCTGGGGGGGACCTTAGGAGCGAACGCCCGGACCGGTGCCCTGACACAAGGAAAACGGTGCCATGTCCTGACGGGAACAGAAGATGTTGAGAAACCCTCACTGAGGTCCGAGGTATTCTCTCAAGATCGTATTGTCCTTCAACTTAGTATCCTGGAATTCATAATTCATTACTAAGTCACCTGTGAAAGTTCACCCTCTATCTTTGTTGTCATGCTAAGCTTCACTGAAGAATTCCATTCCAATGAACCCAAAAGAACATGGTACGAGTATGGCACAGTGGAAGGCAGCATGTTTCAAAATCAGGCATATATGACTGAAATATTGCTGCAGTGCGTTCATTGCAGCCCCCCCTGGGAGCCGCGCCGCACCCATTGTAGCTCCCCAGCCAAGAAAACACGTGACCTCACCCAGCTTCTTCACTTGAAAGCTATGTAAAGAAAGATATAAATGGTTCGCGCATGTGGCACTGGGATTCAATATGATTCAATTGTATTTTCAATGATTAGTTTCTCTCTCACCAGCGAACCAGCCGAATCCTGCCCCATGTGGCTTGGGCCTGAGTCCCCCACCGGGACTAGGTGCTGCATGCGGGACAACGCAGACGCCATTTGGTGCGCGCACGCAAGGACTCCCAGGATGCGACTCAAAAACATCGTCCGCCAGACTTGCGACCGCCAGGGTGGGTAACCTGTACAGACTCAGAGCAAAACCGTAATAGAAGTTAAGCATAGTTAAGCCTTCCTGTTGGGCTTGCTGTTTTAGTCCTCATTCTGATTGTAAAACCTGAATCGAGAGTCTACATGCTGTATAGAGATGCCTTCACGCTTCCACCGTTTCCACCAGAAGCGGATGGTCGCTGGTTTTCGAGTGCCGTGCCGTGCATCCGTGCCGTGCAGGTCGGAGACTCCCGGCTCGTCATGGGTGATTTGGAGACAGGTGGGGTGACGGAGTCCGACGGAGTCCTGGAGATTGGTATCAATCGGTGCAAGAAGGTATATCGCCACATGAGTCAGGAAGCGCTATACCTGAGCTGGGCGGTGGCTTGCTCTTAAAGAAGCCCTTGGGCTTAACACCAACCAGCCTGAGATATTGGGTTCTAAACAGGGGGACTCCTTTGACAAAGATTGGCCCCTGCGATCGGGATGATGCATCCGGCTGCAGAGATCATTTGTAACAGCCTCATCTCTAAGTCTTGGCTCGGTGCTTTTTCGTTTGCAGGAGCCTGTTCCAACATGAACCAGGGCGCCAACAGTGGCATTGCTAGCATCAGGATACCGCTGCAGCTTTGCGAACGCATCATGTTGAAGTGTTTGTTTGTTTGTTTGTTGTTTTACCAATTTTGTGCTACTAAGGTCACTGCGTTTACATGCCTACAAACATTAAACCCAGAAAGTCGCGTCCCTGTATATTGCTTTGATATTCGTTGGTCCTACAGCCAAACTGGTCTGGGACCCTCCAGCCTATGCCATGACAGCCCTTCCCCAAGCTGGTGGCTTTATCAAACAATATCCATGCGGCTTATTATGCAAATCACATCCGACCGTGGTTTGCCGATTTGTTTCTCTCGTTGTTATCCTTTGGAGGTTGGGGGAAGACTTCACCATGTGTTGGTCGTCCAAAAGCATCGTATACTAGTATATAAATTTAACACCTCATGATCACTTGAAAATAGGAGGTCTCATCTTGTGCCTTTGGAGGCCAGCCAGTCTACTGCAGCACTGAGCACAAGGCACCGAAAGCCAAAGCGTTCTTTCGGTGTTACCTGGAGGGACGCCACGCCTGGGGGACGTTTGCCTTTGAGTCAGGCATCGGGTCAGAAAGCGGCCAAACGGGTGAGGACTTCATCTCACAAAGATGAAACCGAACACGAGAGGTCTGGTGTTGTGAATTCCAGGATTGGCGTCTGCCAGGGCGGAAAGGTCTCGCTTTCTTTCAGAAAATAGGTAACTGTGCGGCTGTTGCATACTCAGATTTGTGAGTCGCCTATTGTTCGCCACGGCTTGGACCATGCCCGCATATCTATAAATATATATATATATAAATGCCGTGCTCCTATCCAGTTGTAATCATCGCAATAATTTGAAGGCACTTCATATATACACATGGACTCCTTTCCTTAATGCTCCAGTACACTCAGTACACAGGACAAGCATTCTTTCAACTTTGTCCGAGCCACCGTGCAACAGAGAGGCTTGCTAAGCCACTTTCCACCAGGCAAGTTCCTTGGCCACAGTATGCCACGGTTCGACTGCCAAAGGCCCTGTCTTCACAAAAAGCAGCCTCCTGAGCACTGCCGGTTGTTTACCTTTTGGAGGATCATGTTGTGGTTATTGCCAAGACGGTACTTCCACGGTCCACCACCCTTCATTTTCCTCCACCAAGCCATCATCCCCACGCGGCACGTGTCGACGCGTCCAAAGCGGAGGCACACGACGCGGAGGAGTACAAGCGCCTGGAAGCGGCAGGAGCACACGTGATCCAGAAGAGGCGAGGGAACGAGGGAACCGGTGTTCTGTTTGCCGTTTGCCTAGCGGCCCACAACAAGGGTGAACAAGTGAACAAGCGCTGTTGTATGTGGGTGGGTGGCTTGGGGGAAGAAACATGATAAAGACTGGTAAAGGTCAAATTAAGCCCCATGGTTTGGATAGTGTTTTGATATGTTTTGGCACTCCCACAGCTCGTCCTATCCCTGCGATGCACACGAATCCAGTTGTGGACCTCCAAATCGCCCATCGGACCGCCCTGGGCGACGCATGCTCTTCGCCCCCCAAGAGATCCGTCGGGTCTCGGAGCTCGGACCAGGTATGACGATGGCGAAGTGGTCAGCCGCATCTTCATTCCCAAGCGCGGGCTCACAGATCCAGAAGTCCAGGGTGATTGAAGTACTAGTACTGGGTGGTAGCTCTTCTAGTCTAGTCGCGCCGAAAAAGCACTTCCCTACAAGTCCAACCATTGACTTAAGGGTTCCTACCCGACAACGTTTGTTCTTTTTACCAAAGGTTTTACCAAACCAGGTGACACATTCTTTGAAACTGGTCTTGTGACGTCCAAGGGATGGGGCCTCACAAGATTGCACCCCCCCGTGAGAACCACCCTGGCAGCGTGCTTCTCTTCTCATGGGAAAAACAAATGACTCAGGACTGGTGTGCCTGGTCTGGCGATGTCGCGCTCCATGGGCGACGGATGCCTGAAGAGGTGCGGTCACCCAGACGGTGGACTTGATAGGTCGACCTGAAGTTGCAACGGGCGACTCTAGAGTCACTCGAGTCAGTGTGTTTGTGGGAGGTTTGTTTGGCGTGTTTCATGAAGGATGAAGTGAATCATACTATAGTAGCCTCCTCTTGTTCCTACAGATGAACACTTCGCGTCGCTTGGGTTTCGGGTTGCCCAACCTCCCCCAAAACTCCGTGGCCTTGGCGTCACGGCGCGTTGGCCATGCCAGGTATGGCGTGACCGCGGAGCCGGACATCTTCGATATCACAGGTGCCGGTGACGCTGCGCCAGACTCGAGAAGTGCTCATCATGAATCATCAAGCCTTGAATCCCATCAAATTGCCAGATTTGCCTACATTGGGGGTGGTTTAAGGGATCCGTGGAGGCATCTCTATATATAATTATTTTTATGTCTATATGAGTCCGTACATGCTGAAGAAAGCTCCAGACTGGCAAAAGGGGACGATCTTTGGTGTCTCAGCCTCCGTGGCTGTGCCCCCGGCCATGTGGTTGGGATCGATGCGTGGCCGGAATTCGATATTCACGGAGATCCGAACCTGGATATTCCGATACCCTATATAAGAATCCGGGCCCTCAAACAGATAGGGTTTTGAGGGCCCAGACCTTTGAATTTCTCAGTGGGGAGTTGAGGTTTGGACAATTTCGGACATATTGAATCCACGGATATCCGATATCTAGTCATCTAGTCTATTGGTTCAGAATTCGCGCATATCAGAATCCGGCATGGGTGACCGGTTCAACACCTTCAAGGTGATTCTTTGTGAAAAGTCTCTCCGATCTGAGAAAGCCACGCACCACTGCACCGCAGATTCCTGGCAGAGTTGTACTTCGCCTGGCGTGATCATGGGAAGCGACGGCTTGTGGGTCTGGTCTCCCGAATGTGCGACGTCGGGGTGCGGCTTGCCATGAGTGCGTTGATCCTCGATTTCGCTGTGGGATGAAGATGAGCGCCATGGATTTGTAGCGAGGGTACACGAAGCTTTTGGCATAAGCCTCTAGTTGTCCGTGGTGCTTAGTTTCAGTTGTACTCTTGTTTGTGCATGGTACTGTAATGGTGTATATACATCCATCTACCAAATCTAAGTTGAGAACAACATGAACTTCTAGAATCTATCAAACAGTCGCCTAATTGAGGGTGCTGATATGTGATATGTAGCTCATAGCAAGAAGCAAGCCATGTCCTCAGTTCTCACTCACACACACCCACATATTCCTTATGGAGGCAGCTTGTCCGCAGAAAACATGCCAGGGTCGAATCAACCTCAGAAACATCCATAAACCCACCTTGGACAGCCAACCCCATTGCTTTGCCCAGCTCTCCCGCTCGTGGCTGCTGCTAGTTCCGGCTCCAGCTTTGCGAGCCAAAGTTGCTCGTGGAGAGTTGGGTGGCTGCTATTAGGTCGAACAAGACCAGTTTATATAAGCCAAAATAGTCAAGAACGCCTTTTGTGATAGAAAATGATTCATATGTTGGCTATTTTGGGCTGGTTGCAGTCCAAAAGAAGATAAAGAAGTCTTCGGGGTTCTGGATGGCGAATGATTCGACGAATATATTCCGCGAATTGACTTGATCTTTGTCTTTTCTTGCCAATATAGTAGTTGGTAGTTGGGTGATCAAGAATCTTGAGTGTGTGCTTCATGTTGTGGAACACCGCTTCAATTTCATGGTAAGGTTGTCGGCTTCAAACTGTTCCCTTCAACCACTGCTACACAACCTTTTGGCAAGCTGCAGTGTAGCCAGAAGACACACACACACAACAATGGCTCCTGTTGGAATGACTGGGTGAAAGCAGCTTTGCACCCTACAAGGGACAGAATTCTGAACCCCTGATCCCCCAAGTACCAAAAGATTCCCATTGTCGGCCTGAAAAGATTCCCATTGTGGGCCTGAAAAGATTCCCGCTGCAGTCCAGCCTGAACCAGAGCCGTAACACCGTAAGACCTACAAGATGCAACTATATGAGTACCCGACAGAATAGGGGCCCACCCAAATTATAAATGTCCTTTGCGGGTAATGAGCAATATTGTCCGACACTCATATATGTTCCAGCTGCGATCACCACTTTTCGTTCTGGCAAATGTTCATTGCTCGAATTAGAGGCACCAGGCCTTGTGGACAGAATACGGAGGATCTCTTGTTGACCCCTTTTTGGGGGTATGTATTCTCCATGGCATCCGCGGTTTCCAGGTCATTGTTCAGCACCCGGTTGCTTCGGGCAGGGTTCCGGTTGAAGCATTCTGGTTGAAGATCCCCGGCTGAGCCGGGCATGGCTCGCACGACGCCATGACGAACTGGGATCAAGTGCATATCCATACCAGCGATGAGTGCACTGGGAAGAATGAGTGGATGGGAGGTGGAGAGCCAACCCACGGCTGAGCAGACTTGAACGGCCTCCTTTCCATGAATTACCTGTTGGTCAAAGGGGATGAAGGGCCGATTGATGACCATTGATGCCGATGTGTGTTTTTGCTTTTGCGGATTTGAAGATAGAGTTAGCTTGGAACGGTATTGTTGGTTGGGTGTGTGTCTTGTTGGCAAGTCTCCACAATGGCAGGTGAACATCCCCTTTCTCGAGTGTGTGTTGACGTTTCTCGGTGTTCATTAAGGGGTGTAGGTGTTGGACCCACAATAGGCAGCAGAAATTCGATTGACGATGCACTCACCATGGCCAGTAGCTTACCATTGGTTCCAAAGACGGTGCCATGTTATGATATGTTATGGACGTGAATGCTGTCTATAAGTAGGGCTGTCCATAACTGCTGTGGAAAGCTATCTAGGATGTTCTTGCGCCTCATGAGGTGGCGCCCTACGCTCATTGTAGTATATGTTAGTGATCATTGCATTTTGCTATAGTCATGCATTATGTTTTTTTTAAGATGTATATTTTTCTGATCAGACACATGTGTTTTGCATGGTGGACACATGTACTTTGACACATGAAAATATAAGTTTCTTGTTTTTTTTTGTTTGTTGCATGCCACTATGGAAGCAAACACATGTTTTTTTGAGCACTCACAACAAAGGTTTTTGGACTGCAGATTATGTGTTTTGAAGCGCTGAAAAAGTTGCATATCAGAGTTTTTTTTTTGGCAGTAAGCAATACACAAAATATGCACACATGCTTTTGGAATCCTACACTTATGTTTCCAGATGGGTGCAATGTATACTGGAGATTGAAAGTTAATGATATCACATCTTCAAAAACAACATGTAGGTCCTACAGGAGGCATGATGTAGGATAAAAATTACATAAACATTCACATTTATCCTACATATTCTTCAGAATGTGGTAGGCTCATGAAGATATGCTTGCAGTGCATTTAAGAAGTATGAAGGGTTGCATGGCTGATGGAGTCAGAGACCGATACATACCATATTAATAATTTTCTCATGTGTGTGTAGAGAAATCAAGAAATTCAGTTCTTGCATTTGTCATGTTGCTAGTTCCTGGCACAAGGAGGTGTGACACACTAACGATAGCTTTTGCGCATTCTTGGAAAGGAAAGTGCTTCCCGCCTAACGCGGTAACAGTAGCGGTAACACCGCCTACGCGAGAAACACCAAAAGATGGCCATGCACTGTTGGTGTAAAGGTGACTTCCACTGCGTCTTGACACACTACTGAAGCACTAGGCTACTGGTTGACTCACCATGTTAAAAGTGGTGGGCAATGGTTGGGATCGAAAATCCAAACCAACTCACAAGGAAGGGGAAAAAGATATATGGCAAAGATTTCATGAAGAATTTGCTCGCAGTCTTCACTGGTTTTATTTCATAGTTGTATCAACTTGTGAACAAACCACGTGTTGTTCTTTATGCCAACGCACAAGTCTTGCCATTGTTGGGCGGAGGGATGCATTTGCATTGCATCCAGCTTTATTTGTTGGTTTGTTGGTGTCAGTTTTGCTTGTTGCGATGACGCAACTGGAGATCGCGTGAAGCCATCGTAAGTCGTGGCATGAAGGTAGATAGTAGACAGTAAGCATCACACATCTAGAGAGAGCACCGATGCAGCACCCACCCATGCATCAGCATCTAGCGAGAAGTAAACCATGGCACCACAAGCAGCAACTACTGGAAGAAGTACTTGCAGCACTAGCAAAGAGTCAGCAAAAGCAGCAATGATCAATGACTAATTGACGACAACTGTAACACAATGACAATGTCCCAATGACCCAATGACAGCCTAACAACAACAGCAAGAACCAGCGAGCAGGAAAAGCGCTGTCGTCACAAGTGGCAGGCCCTCTGACATATGCATGTATGTCATAATCATCTATGTATGTATGTATGTATGTATGTATGTATCTATCTATGTATGTATCTATCATGTATGCATGTATGTATACATTGTATGTGGGTTTCTTGGCAAAGTTCATTGTATGAGTGTTGCAAAAGCTGTCACTATATTGTTGAGACACAAACTAACAGTAACATACAACATGCTCTTTTGTTTTTGTCAGTCTGAATATGATACTTGCGATGTCTCGTGACATCAGTGACATCACATCTCAGATTGAAACATACAAGAGACACGCACACAAGTCACACAAGTAGCGCAAGGCACAAGTCCAACAGTCTCATTCTCATGTTTGCTAGTACTGGGTGCAAATGGTCGCAACTGACCTGAATTTCTGAATCCGAGCCTGAATCCATATAAACACTACTTGCATTGGCATGAAATGCTATGTAAATGACACCGTGGGGCGGCCACTGGTTAGCCGCAAGAACATTTGGGCAACATTGACCAGAGGGTTGTGGACACCCTTAGTCTATAAGATTCTATAAGTATTTTATGTGTGTGTCCAGCTTTGGATGGCATCTTGTTGTGGAGAGCTGCTTAAACCAGGAGCCCATTCAGGATGTCTAAGAACTACCATAGAAAGATCCTAAGAACTACCATAGGCCACAAAACTACCCCAACAAACGGCCTCGTCCCCCAGGTGGTTACTCTCCCTGCTCTCCACCGGTCTCACCTTCGCCTTCGTGGCTTTGGCCTTGCTGGCGCTGCGTTTGCCCTGGAGCTCGGCGGCGACGCCGCTCCAGCTCTTGGGCTCACAGAGGGAGCGCCGGAAGCTCCGGCGCTTGGTACTGCCCGACACCTGCAGCTGGGCGGCTGGTAGGCAAAACATGGAAAAAGCATGAAAACAAACCTTTGGGGTGGGGGTGCAAACATAGGGGCCAGAATATATGATGCGTAACGTCTATACACTAGATTTTTTTTAAGACAATGATAATGTGCAAACACGTGCAGGCGGAGAGCCTGGTGAGTCATATTATTGTGTTATAATATATATATATATAGAGAGAGAGAGATGTGTGCTTTTGTTGCACAGATCCAGTAAGAGCCATACCATACTCTTGGCACCTGGAATGTTTTTTCTGCGCTAAAACACTCAGTCACCAGTTACCAGAGTTTGTCATCTAATATATACAATCTTCTTGCTCCCAGTCACAGTCATCCTCCGGAGGACTCTTCCTGGACCTGGTCCTACGGTGTATTCGTTTGGGAGAGACTGGAAAGGCCGCCAAAAGCAAGATTGCGAGGAGCTCAACCAAAAAGCAACATGCCCACCCTGGATTTGGAGGATTATTGGTCACCCAGAGGCCTCGTAACCTCCACTTCACCGCAAACCAGGTATTGAACGTGTAGACATGGCGGAGCGACGCCTCTCTCTCTTGGAGACTGGGTGTGAACGAGCTGCGAGTTCGGTGTGACATCTTGGGCGGAACTGGGTTGGAGCCTTTTGCATCGATACAAGATGACAATTATGACAATAATATGATATAAACATGGAATCATGCATTTGTGTTTTGCTGAACGTGGGCATGGCATAAAAACTGTTTGAGGTCATGGATAAAGTTTACCCCCATTTAAAACTAGAACGCATATCCCTACTAGACAGGACGTTCTTCACAAAGGGTGTTTTGTTCTGTTTGAAGTTTGAATGTTTGAAAGTTAGTATGTGTTTGTATGTATATAGAGAAGTTACAACCAAGCTTCTCAATTCTTATACTGGCTCTGTGCATTGTTTTCACGAGATGTTGAATACGTTGACTCGTCCAGCCAAATATGAGTGCGTGTCGAAGGCTCCTCACAGAATCCAGCACTTCCATGCATGAACGAATCCCTTGTGCATGTTGAGCACGAAGGTATTTTTGGTTTGGATGGGTCATTCCTAGCAGCCAGCACAACATTTACCTTTGCTGGCTTGAAACAGAGACCAGGAAAGTGAGTATCATAGAATCATACTTCCACTTAGCAGCTGAGCATTCAAAGCTGATGATCCAAATTCTGCCCAGTGCAAAGTCGAACAATCTCCATTTCTCTGCAAGAAAGCTCTGACGAGCTACACCGGTTTGTCTCCAGACTTTGTCAACTGCTTTGGCGATCTTCCC